GGAAAAACTCATAGAAATCTCTTTTCTCCCCAACTTTCTGAATAATCCATCAAAATATAGATGAAAATGAGATCTGATAAAGTCTTTTTAAGACTTGAGAGTTGCTCAGATGAACTAAAACAAAACATATCTAGACATCTGAGCAAAAAAAAAGGCAGATCTGAAGATCTAAGAGAGAAAACTCAAACAGATCAAAAGATCTGAGCTAAAAAACAAGCAAATCAAAAGATTTGTGCATAAAGCTAAGCAGATCAAGAGATCTGAACGATGGTTAGACAGATCTGAAAAGATCTTGTCAAGAACCAAATCGATTTGAACAGATCTTGGCCAAAGCCAAACGGATCTGAACCAAATGGTGCTAGAAATGAACAGATCAGAGGAAAACCTTAGCTGAAACGACAGATCTGAGCAGATCTAGACAAGAATGAGATGATTTCTGCTCGTTCGAGTCCAGGATGGCGCCAAATGATGCGACATCGGCTCCGACCACCTGCTCTGAGGATGCGCTTCTACGCCGGAGACAGATCTGCGAGGTCACAATCAGAGAGATACGTTAGAGCCGCCCCATGGACTATGCCCCGGGAGCGGACTCCGACGATCAAGTTAGATCAGCTGATAGATCTGAGATGGTCCTCCATAGCTGGAAAGAACCATCTTGGTGCTGGTGGTGGTGTATGGTGGTTGACTTTTGAACTCGTTCAGCTAACATCTCTTTGGCTCCAGAATTCATGTTTGCAAAATGAACTCTCTTAGCCGTAGATTTAGCGAACCAGATTTTGTCTTGCTTAACAGGGACGGTCATAATTCCCTCATCAGGTACCTTTCCAAAATCTCCTTCTTTTAGATTCACCATCGTTTCCCCGTTGTCCATGGCGTGAAACGAAGCCCCTGAATCCATGACCCAAGAGTCTACAGAACTTTCCATACTGAGTATCAATGCATCATCCTCAGACACACTCTCAGCACCGACAATGTTCAATTCTTTCTTTGGACATTGACTCTTAACATGTCCCACCTCTTGGCAGTTCCAGCATTTCACATTCTTCAAAGTTCTAGAAGAACTTTTTCCCCGACTCCCACTGCTCCTGCTATTCCCTCTACCTCTTCCGACATTTAATAAATCAGAAGAAGAAGATCCACCTTGATTCTTGCGTCTGATATCTTCGCCAAGAACCAAATCTCTAACCCCTTCAAAAGTCATACCACTGGTCCCCACGGAACTCGTAACAGCAGTAACTGTTCCGGACCAGCTATCAGGTAGAGAAGCTAGTAGCAGTGATGCTTGAGTCTCGTTATCAAATTTAATTCCCACATATGATAATCTGGACATAATTGAATTTAGATTGTTAATGTGAACCGTAACTGAGTCTTCCTCATTCATCCTTGTAGTGAACAACTCCTTCATCAAGAACACCTTGTTAGCTGCCGATGGTTTCTCATACATATTTGATAGAGCCTCCATCATACCACGCGCCGTGGTTTCATTCATGATGTTGAAAGCAACGCTCTTCGTCAACGACAATGTAATAACCGCCTTGGCTTTCTTGTCCTTTGAGTTCCACGCATCTTCAGCAGCTTTTTCCATTTTCTCCGGTTTGTCTCCGAGTACCATGTCCAAGTCTTTCTGACATAGCAATGCTTCTAATTGCATTTTCCACCAGTTAAAATCAGAACCATTGAACCTTCCGATTATAATCTTGTCTTCAGCCATTACGACAAACAAGATACAAATCAGGTACACTCGTGCGTGATAAAAAAAACGATCGTACCCTCCAAAACCTCGCTAACCAGGCTCTGATACCAGTTGTTAGGAACCGGACCGGGTACACGCAGCGGAAACACACTATCACACACACACAAACTCACGAAAATAAAGCAAGAAGAACACAAGGATTTTACGTGGTTCGGATTCGGTGCAAATCCTACGTCCACGGGCTGCAACTAGAGAATTTTATTAAAACTCACAAGATTACAATTGGCTTGACACTCTACACTTGATGTTCTCTCAAGTTTTTGCACACAAAATATGCAAAACATACATGCATATATATAGGTATATTTGTGAGCCGCAATATGCACAAGATTGCCGCAAAGATTGAAAAATGCGTAGATTTTTCTTTAGCCGTCCATTGATTATTCCACCGAAAGTTCGCGTCCAATTCAAATGTTCAATTGTTGCGTTCACATTAGAGATAGTGACAATAAATATTAAACAATTGATTCCACCTTCCATTCAACAATTCAATTGTTTTAATTTCCAAGTTTCATTTATAGCCCTTGAACTCTTAGGAACTTGTCAATTTGTTCATGACTCCATAAATCTTAACATAAAGGGTACTGATGTGTAATATCTAAACCTATATATGTCGATTGTATGTAACCTAATACAATACAATACAATTGATCGACAGTTTAGAGGAGAGAAAGAAGATATAGGAATTAGATAAATAAGACATCTAGATGACTTATATAGTAGACTTATAAAGAGTTATAAACAAACTCTAACACCCGTAACAAATAAGAAACATTCATAATAGATACTAACTTGAGGTCACCATTTTCAACAAAAATGAGTCCACTTAAGAAGCTTCAACATTACCAACATTAAACTTACCAACATTAAACTCTAATTTTAAACCATCGCCGATTGACGTCAATTCATCATCTTCTCTAAAAGAACCAAGTTAGATTTCACACAAAGTAGTTATTGTTGCTTTATTTGATGTTTTTTGTATGATGACATGCCTTATTTGGTTTTTTTCTCACTATATTAGTCACCAATCAAGTAAAATGATGTAATACTCTTCATCTAATCGAGCAAGTAAAATAACTATAATACGCTTAATTTATAGTTGGAATGCAACTATTATTAGGAAACAAAATGTCGTAAAAATCCCGACTAGTCCCCGGTTAATATCCCATTAGTCCATAAGAGCTACTCAACCGACTAGAAGGCGCATAGTGATTAATCTCTGCCTAGACAATAAGTGAACTATAAAATTTGATGAATTTCTAACATTTTGAAGAAGTTTTACCTCAATATAGAGTATTTGAAGATTGATTAATGTTGTATTAATCATATTAACCTATTTTAGTATACTATTAGTAGTATTAACAATTTTCTTGTGATGTTAGTCATATTTAATTTTTTAAAATTAACGAATTTACAGTTTAAGGTCTCGAACTAGTCGTTCACTAATCTCTTACTAGGTCAACTAATCTCTAGTCGTTAGTCATTTGACTTAATACCACCTAGCGACTTTTATAACCTTAAAAAAAGTATAAAAAAATATAATTTATTTATTTTACTTTGAACATGATGAAAGTGATTATGTTATGCCTCATCTAATTATTCGAAATAAATGACTATATTATCTTTTTATCTTTTATCTATATTTAAATAATAATTATAAATATAAATAAATAAGCAAACAAAAATAAGGTAAACTCTATTGTTAAAAAAATTTCGCTATAAACATAAAGGAACTTAAAAGGTCCAAATGTGTCTTGTCGGTCTTTTGTCTGATAGTCTTAGAATCAAATTAGAGCATGTACAACAATAAAATGAATATCTCCTTTTTTTTTTCACAAAAACATGGTGTGCATAAGTACACTACAACTAAAATCCCAACCAAACATAAACAATGCATAAATATCAAACTTAATCATAACATATAAACAAAGAGAAAATTGACATTATAGCACAATAAAATTGATGTTTGTCAGTTTGTCACGGATAGATCGTTAATGTTTTTCTTTTGCCCAATTAGTCATTTAAGTAACATTATACCTTCTAAATAAGGGTACAAAGGAAATTTGAACCGGTATACATGTTAGAAGCTGATGTGGAAATTGCACTCGTGGACCCGAAATGCCCGCCACTGATACGGTGGCATAAATGCCTTAAATGAAGCCCCAATACGAACCATTTCCATAATATTCGTACCCCAAGGTAAGTCATAAAGCTTCCCGCCAAGAAACCTTTGATCTAGATTGATAAAAGTGGAAATTATCCAAATGTCTTCTTCATCTATTCGGTCTCGAAACTCCAGCTCCGCCAAATCATGTTGGACATGGTGATGAAGAAGCTAGGCTTCTGTGTGGTTGTTGAAATCTCAATATTGAACGCACCTCCCGAGTCACGATAATCCATGTCGGAGATTTTATAACTGCAAAAAACCATGCAAGAAGTAACTAGTTTAGGAAGATTCGAACATGAAAGATATCATTTTGTTCGTTGTACAATAATATACATCGAGAATGTGATCGAACAATAGATCCAAATATAAGAATTTGAACTATTGATGATTCTTTAATAGGTTTTGAGTTTATAGTTTGCATTTAGGCTATAGCATGTACAAACAGACGCATCAAAAATTCATCTCAATCCTCCATGGAGCCAAGCTTGTCAAAAACAAGAAATAAACTCATCCACAAAATCCTAAGCTCAAAAAAAAAATTGCACCTTTTAGACGGCTTATATCAAACCTGTCAATGTGTCCTACCACATAGATATAAGGCTAGAGGGAGTGGGTGCGGCTAAGGCCGCACTCCCTTGCCACATAAGCACAAACACCGTCGCCTGGGTGCGGTAGAGGGTGCAGTGCGACATTCCAAGGGAGCACTCCTTCAAACAATGTGATTGGTTCCTTTTTCTTACCTCCTTTTGATTGGTCCCTTTTATTTATTAAAAAAAAAATATCCAAGTGTGGCACCAGTCCTTGGGTGTGGTATGAAACCATATTTTTGTGGTAATAGGGAGGTGACGCTTACGTGTCACTGCGGTTTCATGAGGGAGTGCGGCACCACTCCCTCCGGCCTAAATAATTCCGTTTTTAGAAGTAATGAAACACTTATAATAACCACCATCGAAATGATATAATGGCCGATTATTTGAGATTTAAAATCCTTTAAAATAAGATGAACTCTAGTCAAATCTCACAAGCTTCGATTTTGAATTTTTGCCCGACGTGACAAAATATTGAAAAACTGAAATTATAAAATTTCAAAAAGGACAAAGGAAGGAAGAAGCAAATTTCGTATACCCGAACTTCTATGCAATTCAAAGAACCACCATTGAAACCCCCACCACCTCACCACCATTGCCTTCCACCTCCCTCTCTTCCTGCCCATAGACAAAAGATTCTTTCTTGCCGCGCGTCCTCTCCTTGCTGTCTTCGCCACTCGATCCAAATCCACTTCTGCAAGCTTCAATTAAACCTCCATTAACATGCACGCATGATCTTCCAAAAACAAGCAATACACCGACATCGCAGTACCCATCAATTCCTCCAAGACCCATCTCAATATGGGAGGAAATCGAGAACCCCGCGGTCTGATCGTCGGTAACTACTGCCACGACGTCCTCATCAAAGACGAGGTAGTACTCGCCGAGACCCTAGGCGGTGCTGTCTCCTTCATCTCCGCCGTCCTTGACGGGCTCGACATCACCTCCGATTACGTATCAAAAGTGGGTTCTGATTTTGCATATAGCGTCAATCTCAATCATACCCCAATTGTATCACCATCGGGGAAAACCGCCGTCTTCCACGCTTATTTTACATCCGATCCATCGGAAATCCGGCGCGAGGATCGGGTTCTTAAACGGGTCCAATCATGCAACCCTATTTCTCCATCGGATTTACCGGATAAAGCGAATTTCAATTTCGGTATGGCAGTTGGAATCGCAGGGGAGATATCTCCTGAAACCCTAGAAAAAATGTTTGATATCTGCGATGTTGTTCTCGTCGATATACAAGCCCTAATTAGAGATTTCGAAATCGACGGAACTGTTAAGCTAATGAACCTAAACGAAACTGGTTTTTCTCACTTACTTCCTCGAATTGGATTCTTAAAAGCTTCGGCGGAGGAAGCACCGTATGTGGATATAGAAGAAGCTCGGAAATCATGCTGTGTTGTGGTGACGAGTGGTAAAGATGGGTGTACGGTGTATTGTAAAGACATAGAACTGCAAATATCTCCATTCACGACTGTTCAGGTTGATCCAACCGGAGCCGGCGATAGTTTTCTGGGAGGATTAGTTGCCGGATTAGTGCATGGACTGGCGGTTCCCGATGCCGCCTTGCTCGGAAACTTCTTTGGATCGTTAACCGTCGGCCAAATTGGACTTCCGAAATTCGATTCTACATTAATGCAGGTTGGCTTTGCTTAGTATGTATGATTCACATCCGTATCATAATATCATTGTATGATTTTCTGATCTTCTTCCTACATCCATTACCTTCATAGTTGTATTAATTAACCTTCATAATTTTGCTTATCTCCTTGTCGTAGAAAGTGAAAGATGAGGTACAGAGGAGGAAAATGCAGTGTGATGCGCATGATGATGAATCGAGATTTAAAAAGCCGATTGATCATGAACAGTTTATTGCATCACTATGCACTGCCAAGTTACTAACAACAGATGAGGTTCTTGATCCTGACCCTAGCTACGCTAATCACCAGATGTTGTTTCTTAAAAATAGTGTGTATGAAGAACCGATTAAGGCGATGGACACTAAACCTTAACCCCTGAAACCTCCTTAATCTTTTTATCTTCTAAGTAGAATTAATTGTATTTAGGAATAAGGGAGCAAGGTGTTGTTTGTAGCTGCTAGCCTGCATTTTTAAGGTCTCCTGTTAACCTAATCTTAGTTTATATAAGGTTCTGAAAAAATTTTACTTCATATACTATGTGATAATTATAGTTCAGGGGGTGTTTGACTTAGCTTTTTAGAGGCCAAAAGTCCTTTTAAGAAAAGATAGAAGGTAAAAGATGTTTGGCAAATGCATTTTAAAAGCTGCTTCTGGATTTGGATACAAGTAAAAATGAACTTTTTGGAAAAGTCAGGAAAACCTGATTTTTTGTAACTTTTCCAAAAATGACTTTTGCCCCCTAAAAAGCTAAGCCAAACACCCCCTCAATACATATCGATTGAAGGCAAACGGGCAACAAGCTGCCCCGCTAGCCCTTTCTGGATGGCAAAACCAATTCTTTTGAAAACAACATTTGTGGATCTAGGAGATATGACATTATAATGCATGACCCGTTGGACTCTATTAAGTAGCTCCATCGCCTCTGGTGCGAGAAAACCAAATGTATCGAATGCAAAAAGAACAAACACATGTTGATTTTCTATACATGCATTCTCGTGTTTTACCACTTTGCACGCAACGGCTTTCAAAGCGGCATGTCCAGCTGTGAAACTCCCGCTTCCCAAACCAACGAGAGGAGAGACCCCAGTAAGATCCACGCACGCATGCTTTCCTCGTATCCATCCAAAGACCAAAATGTCAGCCGGTCTAAGTGTGGACCTGCCATCCTGCGGGTCCGTCAAAAAGTTCACTAGCGCTTCTTTCTTCACAGAAATACCAGCACGCCGACAAGCATCAAAGAGAACATCCCGAACCACATCATGTTTATACTTGAAACCAGAGAGCTCTCTACAATGAACCGCGTGTTCCCCAAAGGTATCCAAACATGCCTTGCGACAAACTGGACATATCTCGTCAATTGGGAATATGGGAATCATGAGGCGGTAACGAAGGATAGTTCGGTACTCCACATGAGACATATGCTGGCCAAGACCATCAATAGGGATAGTTAGCAGAAAATCCTGAGCATGAGGCGCCCGCAGACACACAAAGATTGATTTCTGTCTGACAGTCATGTCGAAGTCAACTTCTATATCTTGGACGATTTTGCTAAAAAGAGCACACGCCAAAGCTTTTTGGGAAACCCCCGCTCCCCATATCTTGGCCGATTTCTTTATAAGGTTCTTATAAAGAAAGGACACATAAGATAATTAAAATTGTCCCTCTGAGGTGATTTGTGGTTTGGGAGAATAACATATTGAGGTTCCAATTCACCAATTGCATTTTTGGCTCTTTGTCGATTTCTTGATCCGAATGGGGTGATGAGTAGTTTTTTAATAAAAGGATTTGAAATTAACTTCTATTGAAATGTTGTTGAAAAACTTGAGATATATAAAAAGTTAATTTGGGTATATCTTTGATTTTTTACATCCAAAATATACTATTGTTTTAATCATAGTTAAGTATTTTTTAAAATTAACATTGATCTTGACATGTTTCCAATATGTTTTAGGATGCTATGTGCTAATGTTGATATAGAATTTAAGGGGCTATATCATTCAATACGTTTGTAAGTTTTTCATATTTGTAAATAGCCGATGTTTTTATTTTTTTTATTTTTTTGTGTAATTAATAATAAAATAAAATTGAAAAAAAGACTGGGCTTTTTTGCTCCGGGTCGGGCTAAATGGATACATGAGCATTAGTGACCTGTTTGCAGAGATGCAAACTAAAAGAAAAGGAAAAAACAAATCTCGCTGTTTATAATTTAGGGTTTAAAAACATAGATAAAAAAATGTGGGATAAATGATAATCACATATTTTGGGAGATGTAGGAATATAATCTAATTTTTGAAATTTTTTAAAATACTCATCTATTTTCGAAAGGATTATTGACAAAATTGGCTAGGAAAGTATAGGTTTTTGTCACCATTTGATTGCTTAACATCAAATCGTGTTAATTTAAACTTTAGAATCCAAACCCCTCACCATTTATCAATCGGATTTGGTTTCATCAGATTAGCAGGTTACGTGACATGTCGCATAGGCAATTTCCGATCCCCTTCATCAACTTGGTTTTTTTCTTTAATATATTCTCCCTATTGTTCTAACATTAATTATTTTATTATTATTGTTGTTACAATTATTTTATTATTTGAAACCATCACCACCGCCAATCATCACTTTTCACCACCATGAAGCACAACTCGAATACACATCTGGCTGACATCAAGCAAATTGAAAGATTGAAGCTTTTGACTTGTTTGAATCTTTTGTGGTTTGAAGCTTTTTTAAGGTTTGAATCCGAAACGTTTCAAACAAATTGAAATGTAAGTTTTGTGATTTGAAGCTTTTGGGGGTTTGAATATCGACCACGTCAAGCAAATTAAAATGTTGCCTAATCTATAAATCAAATGGTTATTCGATCTATAAATTGAGGCACAAGAAATACGTCAAATATCATTTGTATCATTTGTTTGAGTGCTTCTTCTTCATATGAAAATAAGATATTAAATCCATATGTTTTGTTTTTATTTTTAGATCTTGAAAACCATTTGGGTTAATTCCATTTTTGTTCGTCTTCGTCATGACCTAGGCACTTGGTTATGTTCATGTTATCAATTTCTTTCATTTTCATGTGAACTCTTACTCAGATTTTCAAGTTAGGGTTTTATCCTATTTCCTACTTATTTTATCCAATTCCTTTTTAAAGCTCATAGATGCCTCTTATTTGTCTTCACCTTTTACATATTGAATTCATTTTCAAATATTGATATCTTTAGTTCTCTTTATCTTTCTTATTCATGTTTATTGGTTTTTCATATTCATCAATTTATTCTCATAAATCACATTTATCTTCTTTGAATCCCTCATATTCAAAAAATAATTACATAACAAAGCAACCATTTAAGAGAAGGAGATGATAAATTTTTCATATATTTTCCAAAGAGTTAGGACAAACCCTAAACTTTCTAGCAAGATTAGTCTTCGTGGATATGTCAAAATTCGAGAAGGGTACCAACAACCACAAAGGTTTGAGTCGGAGATCACCCATTTATAGGAAGAAGCGATGAAAGATGAAGAAGTCGTTCACGAGTGTAACATCCCAAAATCCATGATAATTTTTTTCATTTTTCAAAAGACATTTTCGGAAAACCATAAAATAATCAATCATTGTTTACAAAACAACACCATGAAAATCATAGTAGTTAAATCATCTCTCAAACATAAAACAGCAGGAGGATGTGTACGATCACACCTTCGTCTTGCTCCGATCCTATGAAGTATCTGAAAACATTTAAATTCACAATCGTAAGTCAAAGCTTAGTGAGTTCCCCCAAAATACCTCACACAACAATACATATACAATGCATGCATATCGGCCTTACAACACAAGGGTGGACCGCCCCCTGAGCCTACACCATAAAGCTGGACCGCTCCCGAGCCTGCACCATATAGCTGGACCGCTCCCGGGTATGTTTAGCCTATAGCACATAGTAACATCGCCTCAACCCAACCACACTATGTCGACATATGCATAAAATAATAACAAGCAAGTACAGGTAATCATAATAGATCTACCAGTCTAATATATATCACTACAACATAGCAAAATCCTACATACAAGGACACATACTGCAGCACAAAGTATAGTGAAAAAACTCACGTCGTAGTCTAGCAGACAACAACACAACTCTCACAAATCCAAGACTGGTACTACAAGTCACCTATACAACAATTAGGGACCAAATTCTTAAACTACAGCCCAACATCCACTAACTGTCCTAAAGTCAAACGTCAACCGTCAACCTCCAGTTGACATACGCTTAGTGTAACATGCTGCTTTGAGCTCAAGGCGACAAAACAGGTAACTACAATGTGACAACCCGAAACTTTTTCCGTTTCCGTTATGTGATTTCCGTTAATGAAATTTGAATTTTATTAATTTTCCGTCAAACTTTCTTGGTTTAGAAAATCACCTAGCTTTATATAATCTCGAAAAATCAAACAATTTTCGGCCTAAGTGAGTTTACGGTCGTAAACTCGTTTACGGCCGTACACCCGTTTACGTCCAGCAAAGGGTGAACCCCCACCACCGACCACGAAGACCCCTATATATATGAGACCCCCACCCTCATTCTGACCTTCTTGGCCGCAAACTCTCTCCTCCTACCTCTAAAACTCTTGACCGTAAACTCCTAAAACACCCTTATTTTTCCGGAAAATCATCGAGAAGCACCATTGGGAGTCATTTCGGAGCATCTAGAGCACGTTTCACGTCGAAATCAGCATATGTGTTCTTGAGTATACGGTCGTACACACTTCATATCTTCAAAGGCCGTAAACCCTATTCTTGAGTTTACGACCGTAAACTCATCGAGTCTTCAAAAGCCGTAAACCCTTCAAGAGACAGTTCACGGCCGTAAACCCTGCTCACGGCCGTAAACTCTGTTCACGGTCGTACACACTTTTTGAGTGGTGCATTTGTCTGAAAATCCACTTTCCTCGATTCGATCTAGTCCCGGTAACATTCTTAACCGAAAGCAAGTGTTTTTCCTAACACATTGAAATCGCTAATTCAGATACATTTATGTATTTAATTGTTATTAGGATTTCGTTAAGTGTCACGCTACAACTCGAGAGTCTTCATTCAGTCTGTTGAATCGACACTTGTGCACAGCTAACAGTGAGTTCATACCCCTACGCTTTTCATTAAACGTTTTCAGGGGGAATACAAGCCAAACACAAATGATTTTGTAAAACTAATACAAAAGGGTTTTTAACAAGTATAAAACTTATGCAATTGATTCAGACAAACGATTTCCATGTTTTTATAAAATATTTAGATATTTTGCCCCATTTTTGTACTATGTTGAGCACAAGGGGCGCTTTCAACATACAATCATGATTGCATAGTTTTCAGATCAATATACGAACCGGATATTCTATATTCATGCAAACTATAATAGGTATAGTTTGGGGTTTTCAATGCACTGAGTTATACATTGCTAAATATATAAACTATGACAGATTTAGTTTATTACTACAAGAGT